GTGGGAAATTTTTAAGGGTTATGAGGCGGGTATGCCATCAGAACCTGTGGAAGATGACAGTAAGTTTCCAGAAACATCCAAAGCATGCATAATCCTGTGGGCTCCTTTGCTCAGGACGCTAATTGTGCTAATAAAGTTGAACTTCTCCCTTTGGGCAGAGATTGTAGCATGGTAATGAAGCAAAGGCAACTTTCAGACATTGGGGGTCTCTTCAGCTCAGGTGCTGCCTTGGTGGTCAGGCTAGAACCGGTCCGGGGAGTAGACTGTTGTTATCTTGGACCTTTCTACTTGAGCTGATTCTGCAGTTTTGCTTCTGCAAAATGTGACTTCTGTGAATTCTGCAGTTTTGCTTCTGCAGTGTGACTTCTGCCTCAGCAAACAGAGAAGTGGGTATAGACTAATGGACTGTGGTATGGAAAAGGAAGAAAGTAGGTTATCCTCTGTACAGTTATGGGTCTCTTTCTCGTGACACTTCAGTATGTGTCTGGTCTCTCTCTGCTGAGTCATGTCTGACTCTTTGTGACCCTATGGACTGTATCCTGCTAGACTCCTCTGTCCATGGAATTATCCAGAAAAAAAGAACAAAAACAGCTGGAGTGGGTTGCCGTTTCCTACTCCAGGGGATCTTCTCAACCCAGGGACTGAACCTGTATCTCTTCTTGCATTGGCAGACAGATTCTTTACCACTGCACCACCTGGAAAGCCCCTTCAATATCTGTAGCAAAAACTTTCTCAATATTTTTAGAGGAAATTCAGAGCTAGATGAAGACACTTTTTTTGCTCTACTACCTTCCCAGCTAAACAGCATTTCCTCTACTTGCCAGCTATATGTATAAGATGAAGATTTCATATATTGAAACTAAAAATAAAAGTATGTGATTTATACCTTGCTGAATAATTTGGGTCTTCTGGAGTCATGATAATACTTGTGATAATAAGTTCACATACAGGTACATTTGCAATTGTTTTTTTTCTAATTTAGAATTAGTTGTAACTGTGTTTTTATTCTTATATTTGAAGTTGAATTTTTAATTTTATTTTTTATTGAAGTATAGTTGATTTACAGTGTTCTGCAAGTCTCTTTTGTACAGCAAAATGATTCAGTTATACACATATAGACAAGAAAATATTTTCATTCTTTTCCATTGTTTATCATAGATATTGAATATAGTCCCCTCTGCTATGCAGGAGGACCTTGTTGTTTATCCATCCTATATGAATTTGAATTTAGGTATACTGTTTTAAAAGGTCATGCCTAACTAATATGAGGAAAGTTTAAACTATTATTTTTTGTTGAATATCTAATATACTCAAGCTCCATTATAAATACTTGAACAATAAAAATAGTTTCTATGGCCCAGGAAATTTATTTTGCTAAGGAGACAAGGCATATACCCATGATTGAGGCAGTATCATGAATAGAGATATGAAGGTTTAAATGCTTAAAATGTTTTTGAGAGTTATGGAGGTGGTCAGATTAGTAACTTCTTATAAATATTTTATTTAACAAGCATGTTTGTGAATGTGAATTTGTGTAAAATTATGTTTTTAACTTATACACATGACACATGATACAGTTAAAAAATTAAGACCTCAACATGTTTTTAATACTGCTGTAAGTCATAATTATTTTCTTTTCTAAGATATAAGAAGATCAGGATGATCTATTTTGTATTTAAAAACTTGTGTGTAGAGTACATGTCACTCTCTTTCTGTAAGGAAAAGTAAAGACCATTTTTCTCTCCCAGGGAAGTAGCAGATCATCAGTCCCTAATAGTGGAAATGATTATAATTACAGTTTAGTCATTAGGAATCTTTAGATGTTCCTTCTCTGCCTGTTGCTTGGTTATTCTTCCCTCCAGTTTGGCCAGCGTAAAATGTAGAGTATGATTTGTTGATCAGATACTGTGTGTGTGTGTGTGTATGTGTGTGTGTGTGTGTGTGTGTAAATGGTGGAAGAATTATTTCATCATGACAATAAGTCGGCTCTGGCTTTCTCATCCAGGTTTTAAAATAAAACTGACTGTTAAAACATGCTAATAAAAATAGCTAGGAAAGAAATAGATGCTGTATCATCATGTACGCTATATAGTTGTGAATGTTACGTTTTGGAAACTTTAGAATTTCAAAAATGACATTTAATGTTTGATTAGACTGGTAATATGCATTTATTAATATAAAAGATAGAGATGACATAACTATACTATTGGAAGTGCATGGCATGCATAAGAAAGGACTGTGTTTCCTGAGATTCTTCATGTGAAACTTGCCAGGTTGTTTTCAGAATAGTTGTGCTTGATATAAAATGCTGCATTTACTTTGTAACAAAAAGCCAAACTTAAGATGAGATTTTATAGCTGAGGAAAAAAGTAAATAAATAAATAAATGGATCTGAAATGTTGGCTAAGATTTCCTGTTCTTTTGCTTATGCTGTCTGTGTGCAGTAAGATAAACTGTTTGTTTTGTCTACTTCCTTTCTGTTTGCTGAAAGATGAACTGCTTCTTTTGTGCATTTCCTTTCAGTATATCTTAATTCGGAACAGAATTGACTAATTTGCTATCATTTTGGCAGATTTCTGCCATTTATTAAGCCAGGTTTAATGTTTAAAGCAATTTTAAGTGTTCTGTCAGGCAATAATAAAATGTTTCCATTAAAAATGTATTACCAATACTCATCAGAAGTCAATAATGTTACTTGCTATAAAACAAGGTTGATTAGAAACTCTTCATTTAAACAATCCATTTGGTATTCATGACAAATTAAACATCTCTGTATAAATATACATTACTTCTTTGTGAATAGTCATTTAGATTATCTGATTTAAAATGAATTGGGTATTTCAGCTCCAGTTATAGCACCCTTATATCACAGTTCCTAACAAAGTGCTGAAGAAATTTTATATCCCGGTATGATAATATTATATTTTAATGTAATGATTAATTACATTAATCTAGCTTCTGATAAATATTATCACAAATTAAAAGTCTTTTTAAGTGTGGATTAAAGTTATCAGTATAAATCTAAATTTTATTACCTAAATATTTTCATTAAAAACTTAGTCTATAAAGTAAACCTTTAATTCAGAGGCAACAAGATAGGTTTAAAATTAATGTGTATTATATAAATTGATTACATCGTTAAAACTAATAATATTCTGAGTATTAGTTATATAATAGTATAATTCCAAAGTAATTTTATATTAATTAAAAAATTCTTCACACTTTTCTTATGTTTTTATCCATGGCAGGTATTCCAAATGTATAGGAAATGGAAAGAAAAGGTTTAAATAGGCTGGTCAAAGTTGTCAGTGAACCCATGCAAATATAGAAGACCAGTGGTAAGAAAAACCTAAGCACACAGTAAGCCTATTAGACATTTTGCTTTCTCTAGAAGAAATTAATCATTGCTTTACCATGGCAAAGCCACTTATGCTGGAGAGGTCAAAAGTAACCTGCCAGATTTGTCAGAAGTGAACATAGTTTCACATTTGCTTTATCATGTATTGAGTCTTATAATGCATGTTAAATATCATGATTTGTCTTTTCCTAGAAGATTTTGAGGGCTTCAGTTACATAAGTATTAAATCAACAAAATTGAAACATGTAAAGTGTGTCTACTTTTATTGATATATATATGTGTGTTTGTGTGCATGTATGTGAATATATATGCATATCTGTGTCTGCATATATAGTGTGTTTATCTCTTCATATATGTGTATAATAACTTTTCTATTTATGTAATGGAAAAAGTCATTTTTATATACACACTTTTTTCACACACGGTAATGCATATTATAGTCAAGAAATATATATTATGCATATATAGATAGGATGTACATATGTTCATAGTTGTTCCTTTATCATGTTATTGTCCTTTAGGTGTATGTCTTTTTTTTTATCAGGAGGGAATTCATTAGGTTTATTCAAAAATGCAAAAAGTACGTTGACCCAATTATTTGTGATTAAAAAGTAAATTATTAAAAATGTGTGCCTGCTTAGAGCTGGAGGAGTCAGTATGCGTGACCATATGGGAAAGAATCCCGAAATATTCTATAAAGTCAGATTCCCCATTAAATACTTTCATTCCTTTTGGGTATAATCCTAGAAGGCAGTATCCCATAGTGACACAGAGCAAGAATGTTGGAGTCAAGGAGGCAAAGGCTCTGGCCATTGTTGTGGGAACTTAGGCATATTTCCTGCATGGAATCCTTTTGTAAAACAGTATTTGTTTGGAGTACTATTTGAGAAGGGGACGACAGAGGATTAAACAGTTGGATGGCATTACCGACTCAACAGACATAACTTTGAGCAAGCTCCGGGAGTTGGCGTTGGACAGGGAAGCCTGGTGTTCTGCAGTCCATAGAGTCGCAAAGAGTTGGACATGACTGAGCAACTGAACTGAACTGAATTACTTTAAGAATTGCATTAGATACTGTAGTGTGAAAAAATTAATAGAAAATATTAAGCTGTGTTTGGATTATATTACAGTATTTAAAAAAAGGAATGATACCAGCATTTATTAAGACATATTTAGTTACCACAGTTTGCTTAAATTTTGCATGCATAGCATCATTTAATATAGCTAATAAACCTTACATATGGATATTATTTTTATTACTAGATATTATAGATGATGAATGTGTTAGAGTTTGAATCCCTTGCTCAAGGTCAAACCTTGAGAGTCAGGATTTGAAAAGATATGGAAACTCTTGTTCAAGAAAGAAAGAAGAAATAAAAAGAAAAATAATAAATGAAAATCATGATAAAAATTTGATTCCTATTTACTTTATGAATGGACTCTAAGAATATATCCTTATTTTTCTCTAGTTATTCAGAAAAAAATCTTCAAGCTATGAAATCCTAAAGATCTTAGTACATGAGGCATTCAGTGCATTTAACCACTTTGTTCTGCAAAGGCTTTTTTTACTTATTATGCCTTCCCAGTGCTTTCCCAGCAAAACACTGATGTACTATTCATCATTTCCATTTGGAAGAAGTAACTACTTTCCTGCTTAGCTGTCACACTGCTTCCAGTACAGTATGTTTCAGTAATAAATAAAGTGCATGCTTTAAGTGAAAGTATACGTTTTCTGATACATAAGTCTCTTTGGCGTAATTCTGGAGGGCATGAGAGAATATTTATGTTATTGTTTAATGGCGACTCACTTCTTTCTAGGAGCAATTTTTGATGAATCTGCCAAAAAGGATGATGAGGTATTTCGCACAGCAGTTGGTGACCTCAACCAGAATGAGGAGATCTTACAGACTGAGAAAATCACATTTTCGGTGACATTTGTTGATGGCAACAACCCTTTTCAAGCAGTTCAGGAAGGTAAGGTCTATCAGCACTCTACATTTTGTTTTTTGGTTTAGTACAAATGGCAATGAAATTAAATTTTTAAAAGCCATTAAACATGAACATCATTTTTGCATCTTTACTGCATTGCTTTTCTTTTAGGGTGTTACTTGGTAGATTTTAATCCTGTATTCTACTTCTGAAAGGGCAGTGAGTGAAAAGTTATTGTTTTAATAGAAATAAATGGTCTTAAATATTTATAATAAAAGCTTTGCAATATTTTATGACTTTAGTGTAATTGAAACATTCCTTAAAAATGTGACTTTCTATCTGAAGTTTTACTTTGTTTTCTTTGACATAACTGCTGCCTTGAGTGTTGTCACAACTGGAGATAACATTTAAGGTGTATTCATGACAGATGTATTGCTCGAAGGAAAACTTTTAGACAGTACATACAAATCAAAGATCCAAAATACAAAGATTTTGTGCTTGAATCTCTACAGTGTGCCAAATTTTAAAGCACTTTTCTCCATTCTCTCTGTAAACTTGAATGAATTAAAATTTTACATAGGTACAGAGTCATACAAATTATTTTTATTATGCTAAAATGATCCTTTGTATGAATGAAGGACTTCAATGAAAGATCTTACACTAATAAAATTCTAGTTTTGATGCTATTATTGTAATGAAATATTTAGTCTTTTGATTGGCAAAGTAGTCATTATTCATGAAGTTATTTGTTGTTAATCTGTTTTATATTTTATTGTGATTATATATTTAGACTAAAGATACTAATATGAAATTAGTTAAATGAAGTGTTAATTTCTTTCATTAAAAACTTAGAGAAATTGGCAGAAGAAAATATGGACAAGATGTGACTGTAGTAAAGTCTGGTAGAAAACTTTTTAAAGAAAAGTATTGAAGGGATAAAGAAGATAAATGTTTTTGTTTTAATGTATTTACTTGATATACAAGTAAGTTTTATTGGATTGTGTTTTTGATCAGTGGCATTGGCTAAAGCCGATTTAAGCTTATTTCTGTCAGTAAGGCAATGGATAGAATAATTAATAGTCTAATGGATTTTCCTTCTTATTAATTTGATGAAGTGAAAAGATATTATTTTAATGAAATGAACAGAAATTTTTAAGTAAAGGTTGATTTTGTAATAAAATAGATTTTTCATATAAATATGATGGAACTTTAATATATAAGTATAAATTTTAAAAATCAGATTAATATAAGCATCTGATTTTTTCTTGCATTTTAATTCAGAATTATCCTGGGAATTTGCAACTTTAAATCATGGCTATGCTGATAAATTTTCTATAGAAACATCTAAAAACTGTCTAAATTAATGTTTGATATTCATAAAGCAGCCTGCAAAAATAATAAACTAGAAATTGTGGAAAATACTTGTAATGTAAAAGAATAGTCACACTAAGAATGTTATTCTTTAAAATAAGTAGGTATTTCTTTCCCAACTGTTAGTTTCAGTAACCAGAGTAAGAACAGGAAAACATGAGGACCGACTTACTTTTGTGACTGTCTTCTTATTAACTGCAGATATGCTAAAATATCCATGCCTTTTAAAAAATCCACTTTGACTGAAAAAATGTGGATAAATCAGTGAGAAATATACAGTGGGTAAAATGGAATTACAAGAGCTAAATAAATATGGCCTTCACACCTTTTTTTTTTTTAAGAGACTACTTTTTTTTTTTTAGAGACTACAGTTTGAAACACAAGGACAGTTTTTAAAATACCACAGTTAATTTATTTACATATTACTTTGTGTAACCATTCTACTGCCAACTAAATTCTGGAAACAAAAATATCTCTCAAAAGAACTATTGTGATATAAAAGAATTTTTGGCACTGAAAGCAAATAGAGAGAGGAAGTAAGTTTTAAGTTTTCAAAATAGAGAATGCTAGATATTTGTCAAGAAAGAATAAAGAACTTGATAATTTGCCTGATGGGTTTTGATACTAACAGGATGTTCTGGATCAGTTATTTTGATGGTCTGCTCTGGGTAATGAATCTGAAATAAGTTCTAGGCAACTCTGGAGCTAATTTTTACTCCATTCAATATCAAGAAAGATCTTGTTTAATTTTAGAAGTAAAAACAGTTTTTTCTAGAGCTCTTATTGTATTTGATAACTTTGGAACAATAATAGAAATATTCAATTGAGAGAGGACAAAAAGTATTTAGGAGTATTTCTTAAATATTTTGAGGAAGTATTTTAGGAGAAACCTTCAACTGAACTATCAAAGATGGTCACCTTTATATCATCATATCTTTGCTGCAGTATCATTAAAATCTATAACATAGAGGGCCTTAAATCAGTTTGTTAATATTTTGTTTATCCTATCTATATTCAACACTTAATAAGAGAGAGAGATTTAAATATAAACAGCCTACTTACTCCATAAACTTTAATAAAGAATATTGGTAATATAAAATGCTCCTTTGTAGTTTTGGTTATTGTAGTTTGTGCATAATAATAATTATTTTACGGTGAGTTTCTTGAAGAATGTATCTTGGTTACAACATAGGATCAATATTTTCTATTCTCTGGAGAGCAATGACTATTTGATCATCATTTTCACTATCCTATAACATTAATCTCAGCAGTTTCAGATAAATGAACAGTAGGGAAAAAAAATTCTTATTTTAACAAAAGTAATTTGTCAATAAACCACCTATTTTTAGGTAATTATTTTTGCTTTCTTTTAAATATTTTTTGGTAAGCCATTGGTTACCTTTAATCTGTTGAACTGTGTGATGTCAACTAATGGTAAAGACTTTTTCATACCTTAACTTAGGAATTCTTTTCTTTAGTTTATTTTTTGTGTGTGTGGACATTTTCCTTAAGATATACGAAAAACATTTGAAAACATTTGAAATTATCAAGGTACAAAATTATGTAAGTCGTATTGAATGTTAAATTAAATAATTGAGACCACAGTGGTTAAGTAATCATTCTACAAACTGGAAGTGTGTAGCAAAGAATGAATGAACTAAACCAAGGCTTGTAGACCACTGACCTGATATATTCCTTACTATATCTGCAGGGATATATATTTATATTGTGTGTGTGTGTGTGTATGTATATATATATATATATATATACATACACACATACTTATTTATGAGGAAAATGCCTAATATATTCTGATATATTCTAGGACTTCAGTAAACACTGCTGGGAATGAAAATGGTAGCAGATTTATGTTTTGATATGTGCAGGTTATGTTCATGCGTTTTAGATAACATGGATTAGCAGAAAAATACCAATTTGATTGGCAGCAGCAGTTGCATTGTATAATCCACTCAGTTCATTCATCCTTACTTCTCCTCTTCTAAATGATAATGAAGAAATCAGAACATAAGTGATGTATTTTAAGGTCAATTTCATCTCTGTAGATGAGATGCTCCCCAAGTCTTTAGAACAAATTTCCAGATTTAGATACATAAAGAATTAAAGAAATTATAATTATTCAGTTTTCACTTTAGAGATGGCTTCACATTGTTGAAATTGCCTCCTGTGTTTTTTTTTTTTTTTCATGACTGACTTCAGAATTGATTAAAAGAATATATGATAGCTGTCCTTTGTTCTGCTACCTCATCCAGCTATTCACAGCAACCTGGAGAACTCATCACTTTCATCAGAATTCAGAAAGGGCCTTTTGCAGGTTCAGGTGACCTGGACTAAAGTAGTTGTTGTGAGATTTCTTTCCTTACTTTTCTTTTATAGATTGTTGCCTCTATGGGACCTATGTACTGAATATAACATAGATACACAAATGACTGGTGTGAAAGGCAGTGTGTGGAAGCAAATTAGTAGAAAAATACCTGCTACTACTATTGTGCTTGAATGGAGTAATGCTGGAACAGGAGTAGGACCTTCTATTGCAGAGGGTAGTCATGGGTGTAGGCCAAATTGGGCAGACTTTCCGGTTGCAGCGAGTGCGAGGCCTATTAGGGGTATGTTAGAGTTATTTGGGTTTAGTATAAAAATTTGTTGAAAGTCTCAGGCGTTAAGGTTAACAAGGAATCATGCTATTGCTAGGATAAAGCCAGTGTCGCCGATGCGGTTATATAAGATTGCTTGCAGAGCTGCTGTATTTGCGTCTGTTCGTCCATACCATCATCCGATGAGTAGAAATGATATGACTCCCATGCCTTCTCATCCAATAAACAATTGAAATAGGTTGTTTGCTGTAACGAGAATAAGCATGGTGATGAGAAATAGGAGGAGATATTTAAAGAATTGGTTAATATTAGGGTCTGAGTGCATATATCATATGGAAAATTCTATAATGGACCATGTGACAAATAATGCTACTGGAACAAATATTATTGAGAAATAGTCTATTTTGAAGCTTAGTGATAGTTTAACGGTTTGGATTGTCTCTACTGAAAGCAATAGCAGCTGTTTATATTGTTAGCTCTTAGCTGAGACCAACACCACTATGGGCCGTTAAAGATAGGGATTTATAAGACAATAAGGTCAGGAAATGTAAGGAGAATGTGTAAAAATGTTCACATCGAAAGGTGAATACAGAGATATGAATGCATGTATAATTCTTGTCTGCATCACATGTATCAGGAAGAATGTTAAGAACTATGCACTGATATTTAATGGCAAGATTCAGTTAAAACATTTTGAAATAATTATTAGAAAAAATATATAAAAATGAAATGCATAGTGAGAAGAGTATAAGGGAAGATTTATACCATAGAGTCACAAATGATTCTATTTGAAAAACAAAGGACTATCAAAATTATTCTCTGGTGTGTTAAAAATTATTATAAACAATTTAGTTATAAAAGTTGATTTTAATACAAAAAGCAGTCACATTTAGGATTGCTCATCTTCCAGTTACAGCTGGGTCCATCTTTAACTTACTTCTTCACACACCAGGCATGAATATTGATTGCTCTCAAAGATCTTATAAAAATAGACATCTAACTTTCACACAGTGACAATTTCAATTGTATTTGCCTTGCATATCTTCAAAAATTAGTGTAAGT